CTGGCCATGCCAAATTGCCCATAGTGCCAGGGATGTTTAGGTTAGGTGGTTTGTAAAAGAAAATCGGGGGCATGGGTCTGGGTGGGATGCTCTTCAGAGGGGCGCTGTGGACTTGTTGGGCTGAATGGCCTGTTTCCACACTGTAGGGATTCTATGATTCTATGATCGTCTATGAAACCATTGTCGAATGTCAAAAGGCAATATGGCATCTTTACCTGGTCCTGTGATTCTAGACCAATTACAATGTGCATTCTCGGTTGCCCTTAAACCACAAGTTCAAGGGTAATTAGGGAGTAGAACAAATGCTGGACTTGTCAGAGCCATCTACATTCAATGAAAGAATTTTTTCTTATTTTAAAAGTTATCTAACGCCATCATCCAAAAGTCATACTCAAACCTCTTTGCAAAGCTGCAATTGAAACCTGCTCATTAGCATGGCACAAGCAAGAGGCTGGGCAGCCCATGGCTCCCTGCACTCTTTCCTTCAGGCCCCTCAGGTAAATCCTCTTGCCCTACAAACAGAAGGAGACCACCTTTATCACAGTGGACATGGGGACCAACAAGATGCAGCAAGGACAGGGGCATAAATCACATGGAGAGGGGACAATGACCTAATGGTATTAATGCCAGATTATTAATCTAGAGACCTAGGTAATGTTCTCAGGACCGGGTTTGAATTCTGCCATGGCAGATGATTGAATTTAATACAAGTGTGGAATCAAGAAAGATGATGACCATGAAACAATTTTTGGACAAACCCATCTGGTTCACTAATGCCCTTTAGGGAAAGAACATCCTTATTTGGTCTGGCCTACATGTGACTCTAGACCCACTGCAATGTGGTTGACTCTAAATTGCCCTCTGACCAATTAGGGTGGCCAATAACTACTAGCCTAACCAGCAATGCCACTTCAATGAATGAATTAAGAAAAACACAGGCGCAACTCCTGGCCCAGCAGAATTTTGCAATATAATGATAACAAAAAACCTAGGAGGTGCAGAATCTCTAGCTTGTCTGAAGACATGTCCCTTTGTTGAAAATGCTGCTTTTCACCTCTGGAGACTGGAGGTGAGAAATAGATAATGGCAATTATCTAACACAGATCACTGTTATTATAGGGGTCACTGATTTCTGGCAGCCTCCGTTAATCCACAACTAAATTGGCACCTGCAGTAATTAAGCAATCAAAATTCCTTGAATCCTCCTGAAATGTGTGTAGAGTTTGCATATCACTTAATCTAACAGATGGTGATTGTCTGCTGAGGAACACTGTCACTTCCCAAACTGTACCTGTACAGAAACTGAAGTGTAAAATAGGATCACAATCAATACAGTTTAATGAGAGCTTTACTGCTGTAGCTTTCCTATAAATCAAAAACCAACACAAATTTCTGTTTCTTAACTTGTACAAAAAAAATCCATATGATTGTGTGTCCTGCGCAGATGGGGTGCATAGATCCAGGCACAGTGATGCGGATCAGGACTGTTGCTTTCTGTCTCCATCTGGCATCTGGATGGGGTACGAGTAGGAAGGCTTCTGGGGGATATGGGCCAAATGCTGGCGAATGGGACTAGATCAGTTTCGGATATCTGGTCGGCATGGACGAGTTGGACCGAAGAGTCTGTTTCCAAGCTGTAAAATTCTATGACTCTAGACCCTCAGAAACCTCCATCCCAGCCCGAGGAGTGCAGAATCACATCATTCCCTCACAGCTTCCACTCACATAGGATGTCCACCTTTGTGGCCACACACTCACAAACAGATTCTGAGGCACAACCTGGTATAATCACCCCACTATCCCCCCCACCTCTCTCATACACACTCACACACACACACCTGACCAGTTGTAGGAGGCAGTGAAAACAGAGAAAACTGACACTCTGAGCTGTGGGAAATCAGACCAATGTTGAGCGCCAGGCTGATGAAAAACCTCTAAAGCCATCTGGGAGGCAGCTGGTGCTGGAGTTCAGTTTAAGCTGTGTGAAGATCTGGCAGAGTTTTCAGAGGACGTATCTGTCCTAGTTCAGAGAATGGAAGTGTCCATCCATCTGCAATCACCTGTAAGCCTGCATGTGTAGCCTTCTCAATTCAGTAACTGAGATTTTCATGAAACGTCAGAACCAGCTGATGAGACACTGGCTGCTGGAGAGTACAGATCTACATAACATCACTGTTTCAAAGTGGAAGGAAACACCTAAAGACTGGTCCAACTAATAGCTGACTGGCACTTGACCATTGCATGTGTACTCATCATTTGCACACTGCAGCAACAACAGGTTCATATGGACAAGCTGTCAGGCTTTACAGCAGAGTAAGATGAGCACCTTGTGTGTGCTTGGAGTATAGATAGATGTATGTTTGGTTGGATATTTAAAATGCTCAAAGTCAGCTGAAATGCACAAGTATATGCACTCTTCATCCTCTCTTTCTCCTATATGTTGACACTCTTCAAGAAGTTCCACAGATCTGCCAGGATGCTTTGGTGCCTTATTACTTTCTCATCTTTCTCCTTGGCTGAAAAACAGCAGCCAGGCCTCTCCTCTGAGCAGTATCAGGAGACTTTAGCTGGGACATACTGAGGAACACCACCCAACTTGATAAGGAACCTAAATCTCAACCCAAGGAGATCAATGGTCAGCAAGTTCATCATTGTCAGTGTACAAGAGGTGGTGAAAGGTTGTAGTAGCTAGAGTGGCAGGGAATGTAGGGTTTGTGGTTGGCCCCAAAATTACAAACACAAATGTGCAGAATCCACTAGCGATGATTTCTGACGTGTTAGAGAGAGAGGCCGAATCGCCTTCCAGTTAAGGAAGGTCTCCTGATTGGTCTTCTGAAAGGCTTGATAGTCAGATGCAGGCTGTAACTGAGGCCTTGAACCTTGGAGTCTAATTATAGCACTGAAACGTTTGGCACTGTTGAGCAAACTATCCACGGGCTCAGAAATTAATGCAGTTGTTTGGAGATGCGCACTTTTCTGGCACTCTGACATCTGGAGGTTGCAAATTCTTTGCTTTAAAACCTGGCCACAGGGAGCCATTGATTGCACGGATTGATCATGGTCCCCTCTGCAGTGTTCTGCCCCTATCCCATCACCAGTGACCAGGAGCTTACTGTTGTTGCAATCCATGTGCTCACCTTACTCTTGCAATCAGGATTCTCTCTGCAGGAGGAACCTCTTATGAAATGAACCATGCCCATGCCACACGAGCACTACTACGAGTGCTGCGATGCTGCATAGCCCAACATTCCACTTAGATCTCACTTCTGAGAGGCCTCCACCAGTAGCAGCATCTCAAAGATGCCTCAAACCCAAATCAACAGCTACCTCATTTCTTTTCGAATAAAAGTAAAGAAACTAATTGTATAGATGTCAAGTGCAGCAGCCACATACTGAACCATCTATTGCCATCATGTAAAAGCTACCAAACTTTTGTCCCACAACCTGCATCCCTTTGTGCTTACCTAAAATGCCATGGCTCCTTCACCATCTCCGTTGCCTCTTAGTGCAGTTTTCAAACCACAAGGAGGGTGCCCAAGTGTCCTGCAGTATATTACTTATAAATGTGTGTCCTTTATCAAACACTTAATTTTACAGCTCCATCTGGAGACAATGTAAATATTCAGCATTCATATCATTTCAATATTATCGCCTGTGATTGACATTAGACTTAACAGGAGAGATAATGAAAAAGATGATGATCTAGAGAACTAGAAAATACAGTTCAGAGATCATGGAATCCCTACAGCTTGGAAACAGGCCCTTCAGCCAAACAAGTCCACACCGACACAAAAACAAAGTTGCTGGAAAAGCTCTGCAGGTCTGGCAGCATCTGTGAAGGAGTTAACATTTCGGGTCCGGTAGCCCTTCCCAAAGTAATGGTGCCAAACATTGTGAAAATAATGATAGGAAAGGAGACCCAAGTCCAGGCAAAGAAATAAAACAAAAATGAACGAAAAAAAATCAAAGAAAAATATATGCCAACATTAAGCATCTGAAATGCTCCGCGTATAGATGCAAAAAACAGAAAATTGTGCTTTCAAAATTATTTCATTGCAAAAGCAAACTACTGCAGAAGGTAGAAATCTAAAATTGGAACAGAAATGTTGGAAATACTCATTAGGTCAGACAGTTAATGGTTCCAGAAGAATGGTGGGATGGTCTTCTGTGTTCAATGAAACCTGCAAGTTAAGTAAAGTGAATGGACATCCCAGGAGAAGCCACAAAATAAAACTGGCTCCAGTTAATGGCAGACAAGGGGCAGAACCATTGGAAAATGTATGATTTGCTATGTGAGACAAGGTATCTGTAAAATCAATGCTATTGCAACTATAAATAACTATATCAATCCAGTGCAAGTTCGGAATACCTTACTAGAACTAAAGCAACAAAACCAGACCATCAAATATGGCACAAAATTTCTCAAGCCCACTGTGTCAAAGACCACAATAAAGAATAACTTGCATCTTGATCTGGTTTACAACATCAGTTGGAATAGCATCCATAAAATAGCACTGGGGCAAAAATAACAATTAAATGTTATCCAACTTTACGCATCAGCAAGCTTGAGGTTGCTCAGATATGTATCATGTATGGCCATTTAACTACTCATGAGGGGCACCTAAAAAATAAAGTAATCATGCCTTACAATAGAGATCACTTATTTTGGAAGCTCAGTGCATTAATGGAGAGGATGAAATACATTAGACTGAAGTAAAACTGACAAAAAAGATTGCTTTTTCACAGAATATCCAGCACACGATGATAATTTTTGGCTAGAATAAGAAACAACTGCTTATGGAAATAGTAAACTCTGCATTAATGAAACTTGATGGGCTGATGACTCTCATTTTAGACTTCTTGCACATTCTTGGTATTGGATCTCAAAAGTTCCTTTGATTGGCCCTACAGTATTGATACAGCATAACAAGTGTTCTAACGACAACTTTAATAGAGAAAAGAAATCCATCACTTTCTAAACTCTTAGGTTGAAGGCCTACCTTTTTCTGGAGGACATTGATCTTTCTCTCTTTCACCTCCAGCATATCTTTCATATCGCGGATCTCTCCTGCTAGTGTTCCTTTTTCTTCTGTAAGATCTTGCAGCTGTTTTGTCTTTTTGTTAAGGAAACTTTCTTTTTCTTCAAGTCGCAACCTCAATGCATCAACCTGAGGAAGAAAACAGACATATATAATCTAGTCTAAAAATACCCAAGGTCTTAACACCAAATTTATTGCTATGGCAAAAGAAAGAAACTGCTTTATTATTCTTGTTATAACTGTTGCAATGTTAAGTATTTTATCCTGTGTTCACAGTATGAATACAATTTCAATATCCTCATATTGAATAACCATACTGCACCGAACTTCAGTTATATAGATTACATAGGACTACCTTAACGCAGACAGCTTGATCCAACTACATAGTTTTCATGATCATCTTCCACATGAGTGCTGGTCTCAATTCCAGGTGCTTGCATAGATCCTATCCCTCATCATTTTGTCTCAATTTCCTGGCAACCTATTTAATCTGATCTTAAACTAGAGACGAGGACCCAACATCACTCAGTTCTGCTTCCTACAACCTGAAGAAGCATTTCTCCTCATCTCTACACTAAACCTCTTACATTTAATGTTATATCCACGTCCCTTTATCCTGGACTTTCAGCCATCAGATACAAAGTGCTATGGAAACTCAGCAGTTCTGGCAGCAGCTGTGGAGAAAAAACAGTGAACGCTGAGTCTAATAGCTCTTCTCCAAAAAATTCTCTCCATAAATGTGCCAGACCTGCTGAGCTTCTCCAGCACTATTTCTTTCTATTTTAGATCTCCAGCATCCACAATATTTTGCTTTTAAAAGTTAAAACAATATAGAGCCAATTAAGAAGTATTTATAGACATTTTATTTTTAGTCCTGAGGCCTGCTTTTATAAAGAGTGCTGTTACAGAAATGATAACCATGAAATAATTGTTGACTATTGTGAAAACCCATCTAGATCAAAAATGTCCATTAGGGAAAGAAAAATGCCTCTCTTACCTGGTCTGGCCTATACGTAACTCCAGACCCACAGCAATGTGGTTGACTCTCAAGTGGCCTAGCAGGCCAGTTGTGTCAATCATTAGAAATCTTAAAAAAATGAAATTGGATGTACTACCTAACACCAACATAGACTCAGACTAGTGACACTGCAAAGTCTTTCTTGCCAATATCGGGGGGCTAGTGCTAACAGTAGGAGAGCTGTCATTCAAGACTAGATCAGCAACAGCCTCACAGACATGGTCTCAGAATCATACCTCCCACATAACGTCCCAGACAACACCAATCACTATCCCTAGGTACAATGATTATATTTCTAAGTCAAGATGGTGAATGGCTTGGAGGGGAACTTGCTGGTTCTCACGTACCTGCTGCCCTTGCCCTTTATAGATGGTAGTATTTGTAGGATTGGAAGATGCTGTCTAAGGAGCATTGGTGAATTACTGCAGTGCATCTTATAGATGGCTCACACTGCTGCTAATCTGCATTGTGGTGAGGGAACTAATGTTTGTGGACATAGCGTCAGTCAAGTGAGCAGCTTTATCCTGGGTGATGTCAAGCTTCTCGAGTGCAGTTGAAGCTGCGCTCATTCAGGCATGTGGGCAGTATTCCATCACAGTTCTGACTTGAGTCTTAAAGATGGTCAAGAGATTCTGGGAGTCAGATTATCTCCTGTTGGAGACGCAATTGCCTGGCACTGAGATGTGATTGTTACATGCCATTTGTCAGCCCAGGGTCCAGGGTCTTGCTGCATTTGGATGCAGGTTGCTTCAATACCTGCAGTTTCATCAATGACGCTAAACACTATGTAGTAATCAGCAAACATGCCCAATTCAGAACTTATGACAGAAGCAAGGCCATTGATGAAGCAGCTAAAGATTGATGGGCCAGCATAATCTTCCAAAGAATGCCTAGAGAGATGTCCTGAAGCTGGGATGACTGACTTCCAACAATTACAATTATCATCTTTGTGCTAGTTGTAGTTTTAACCAGCGAAGAGTTTTCCCCGACTCCCACTGACTCCACTTTTGCTAGGGCTCCTTGGTGCCACATTCTTAAGTGCCGCCTTGATTGTTAGCATTTGAACCTTAAAATCGTATTGTGTTGTGGTAACCACTTCCATGATTCTTACCCAACATTCTTACCTGATCTATTTACATTTAGCCACATTTAATAACACCTCTTGCATAACAACATACAGCTTAAAAATGTTTTCGCTTTAGAAATTCTATTAATTCTCTACTTTTACACTTTTCTTCTCTTAAGAAATAAATGGACATCAAAAATCTCTGAAGGACAATCACTTGGCTCATCTCCTCAATCTATCAACAGATTTCCTCATCTGCTTCCCTGAAGCAATTAATGGGTATGTCACACGATTAACAATCCTTTTTGATCTTTTATCTCTGAGATATCAACTTAGTTTGAAATACACTCTTTCATACATTGATTCTTTTTTCTTCTGCACATTTTTACACTTTATTCAAAATCTACCCAAAAAGAGGAAAATTAGCACCATGTCACTGCCAATATAACAAGCATCTCAAGACTAGGTGGTCATTATGATCAGCACAACATCCTGCAATCTACTACAGTATCCTATTAATATAATTTATCATAAATTCAATCCTGATCAAGTCTTCAATTGTCAACCCATGCCAATGTTTTGATTTACAATATGAAAAATACCAAGCAGTACAATGGTATGATCACAGGCAACAAATGCAGTGTTTTGCTACTTCCTATTTCACTTTCTCATGACTCCGGATCATATTCCCAATCACCTGTGGACATATTGAGCTCTCAATTCTAACATGTTTTTCTGAAAAAAGAATAAGGCCAAAAGGTGTCTGTTGATGTAAATCCAGTAACTCTCTGGACAGGAACTCAGGAATGATACTCATGAAGGTGACAAAAGAATCTCTGAAGGGAGAAAATGTACTTCAAATTGAACTGTAATCTCCTGTGAGTATCTCCAACTGTGACCAAAAAGGACAAAGGGCAGTAGTCTGGATGACAGACATGTTTGTGATTTTCTCTTTTAAAAGTACACAGGGATAGGGGTTAAAAGCAAACTGAACCCTGGTACGTTAGTGGGCTGAGGTACTCTGTGTACTAGCCCGTGTTCAAGTGCTAGTGTGCTGTTAAAATCACTGTCGAAGAACTTCTTATTCTAAATCTGTATGTGTTGCATTTTCATTTCTTCTCGTGTGAAGTAACCAATAAACTCTCTCTCATTAACTCAAGGCAACAGGTTAAATTGGCTCCTTTTAAAACCTAAATTCCTTTGGACTAGGAGAAACGAATCCATAAGAAGAGCAGTCCTTCAATCAGATATTCAGAACTCATACACACCAGGGATCCAGGTACTACACTAGAACCACAACAAGATATTTTTCAAAAATAGGGTAGCTGGGTCCTTTGCCAGGCTGGCTACCAACTGAAAAATCCAATCAATCAATCAATCAACCCGCTGGTTGGTTGCAACCAGAAGCTGCAACCCGCCAGTCATAAACCAAGGCAAAGTGGCTACAGTGAACAAATAGTTATCACTAGACACGTAACTTTTAGAAGCCGCCACGTTGAAAAACAAAATATCTCAATACCTTTTCATTGCTCTCTTTGAAAAAAAAAAATGACTGGGCATCCAAAACCCTTCAAACAAGTGCACGAAAAATATCATACATGAAGCTACCTTAAAAATTATTTCCCAGTTATTATTATTAAACCACATCTTGACCATCAGTCCAACATTGACATCTCTGGGGATGTGCTAATTCCATTAACCATAATGACATTTTAATAAATTATCTGGAAGACAGTCACCAAATGGTAACCCAACTTTAGAATTCCCCAAGACCTTAAGTGATGCAATAGGCTACCTAACAATTTCTATTACTTAAAAAAAGACAATATTCCTCAGCAATTTTTCATAGATCATTATGAACCCATCTTAACTGAGCTCACCACGCAAGATGTCCAAATGAAATTCTTCAACTTCTAACAGAATCTGAAAACATACATCTTAAATTTTGCTCCTCTACCACCTAAAATGGAATATTCTTTCCCAACAATCATGATACTGAAATTTCAACACGTCACGCAAACCACAATCACATAGCACACTTAGGATCCATCCCAATGGTAGCAACAGCTATTATTTATTGCGTCACATATTCTGGTTCCACATCATAACTGCATCTGGTTGATGTTCTCGTGCAGATAAAGGTATCAGAGAGCCATCAGACGGACAGTTGAAAAACTCACCTCAGGAGAAACTTGACAGTGAAAGGATGCTTTACTGAAACTGAAATATCATCCCAATTAAAATTTTTCAAGATAGTAATTCATTTAATAATTGCTGGATTGTCTGCTACCGCTGCCTCTCTCTTTCCCCAAATGCTGCAACCAAAGTCAGATTCCTGAAACCTTTCCTTCTGCCTCCCCCAAGGCAATAAATAAAATGTACTTTAATGTACTTGTGGCTTTAATCATTTTCCAACTTCAAGGTCATATTAGTGGCTGGTCACTAATTGCTAATTTAGTGAAACTATTCAAGTTAATAGCACAGATCTATCATCTTAGCCAGTCAATTTGCTTTTATTTTTCTTACCAGGAATCTGCATATCTCCTGCAATCATCAAAATCTGTGCAAATTAGCCACTGGGAATTAAGTTTAACTACTAATGTTCATTTAAAACAGAAATCTAAATATTGCTCATGTGGAAGATTACCAGCAGAATCCTTACGACGCTATTTCTACATCATGTATTCACTTATTATGATTTTAAGCCAAGATGACAATTTTAGAAGATCAACGCATGATCAACAAAAACATACAAGATTTCCTTATATGGTTTCATTCTTTACTGAATCTGGTAATGACAGCATACTCACAACTTGCAATACTTTATTAAAGCTTGAAATATTTCACAATTTTTCCAAAAAAGATGAAAATAATTTTTCACTACAGCTACTGAAATAAAAAAAATTCAATTAAGCTGTAATACTTAAGCATAGGGATGGAGGAAAAAAATACTACTACCTTTGAGGATAAAATATTTCTATTGTTACTCAGAGTGGGAAATGTAGAATGAGATTTCTTGACTGCTCAGTAAATTAGGAATAAAGC